GTTTGAAGGCTTAGTGCAACTGTAGGCCTATAATATTACTTTAATCTATTTCTTTTTGAAAAGGGGGGAGAGTAAGGCAGAGAAAAGAAACTGTGCAAGGTGTTTGACAACAAAGAGGGCAGGGAACTCTGAGCTCTTTGAGGGTCAATTAGCCAGAAAATGTGCTAAAGACTACATGCTCTATTGGATTATTGGCCAAAGAATTACCCCAAAGCAATCAAAGTGGCCCTGTTGTCTGAATGCAGAGAGGCAATTACAGATTTTGAGGACATGCTACAGAAGCTTTAATTAAAGATATTATTTCTACATCACTGAACATTGGAAATTAAATTCTTTCTTGCAGCCACGAGAAGTAGCTTTTGTCTTTTGCTTGCATGTAGTATGTCAGCATAAGACATGACTGGCTTTGGCATCTCTTCTTTAGGAACACATATTGTGTTTCACCCCACCCCTTCTTGTAACTACCAATTATAATGTTCACATATTAAGAGGTGGATTTCCATTGCTAGACCTTCTGGCTTCCTCTGGCATTGTGTAGGTCTATCAGCAAGGACAATACAATCCCTGACTGGATTTCAAGGTGAAGTTTATGAAGTGTGCAGAACAGAAAGGAGTAACTATATCAAGAGTGATAAATTTATTATCCTTAAAGTGGATGGTATAGTAAATTGAATTTTTTAAGTTAATTTTGGCTGTCTCTGTACTCAGTGGCACAGCCAACCAGACTACAAGAGCAGCCTTTTAATATAATTGCACCAGCAGCAAACGCAGTCCCTTCGTAGCACACTTACTGATAACCATGCCTCCAGGTACACTTTGGTGACTACTGACTAGTGAAAGCTGTCTCAGGAAGGACCATGTTCTTCACAACCATACAGTTCTTGACAGTGTTACACACACAGAGAAGACAAACAGTATTGTCAATTTTGAACTGCTGCTCTGAAGTTGGAGGTCACCACCACTTACTTTTCTGGAAAGGTTTTGGACTCCTTTCAGCATCAAAGCTTAAGAATACTGGGCTTCAGCTTATGGTGCTGTTTGTTCAAGCAAGATAATAGTCTGTTCATTTTTTGCCAACTCTCCATATATACAAGTATTGTAAGTACATGTCTTTCGTACAGCCTTGACTCTCATTCCAAAGTTTTATACTTTACTTCACGAGATGACATGATAGTCCAAGTCCATAACACAAGCTTTGCTGTAAGTCTAAAACACCATTACTCTTTACTCAATAATACAAGAAACACACAAATCAGGTGAAAAAAAAAAAATCTTTACCTTTGTTTCCTGGTTACTTTGACACGCCCTTGGGTTTAGCTGTCCTGCACTGTGGGTCAGTCAGGTCCTCCTGCAACCTATAGCTTATCCTCAGCACAGCAAGGCTTCTCTAGCTCAGGTCTCCTTTTGTAGTTGTGGTTGGTTCCCCAGTTAAAGCACTCCCCCCAGCTGCAAAATGCTAGTTTCTTTTTTCCCCCTGTTTCTGCTCAGATTTTTGCATGTTTCTTTGGAATTTTGTCTTTTTTTTAATGTGCTTTCCTTTCAGTATCTGGATTTTTTTATTTGAGATTTACATTTACTCCACATTCTGGTGCTCTGCCAGAGATACATGGACCAACAACACTCAATCTCAGGCATGAGCCAACTTCCTTCCCTTGCCATGTGTGTGGTCAAAGGGAGAGTCACCAAGATGAGGAAGACCTGAGATCCCCCATCTGTGGGATGCAGTCTGGAGGCCCTTTTGATAGGCAGGAATATACTTTGAAGTATTCTGTAGTGCAGCCAATTATCGTGATAATAGTTTCATTATTAACCAGAGTTCATAAACTCTCTGTAAACCTATTCCTCAGCTCACATTTTTTTGGTGCAAGAGCCAACTGTTAGCTGGACAGATGGGGATCCTAAAGCTTTTGACAGGTTCTTTCATTTTTATTTGCTTATTCTCTGATCTCTTCCAGTCATGGAATTACACCCTGCAAGTGCTGTGCCTGCAAAGCGTCAGGCAGACTAGTGAGTGCACTGTGAAGTAAACAACATTTTGGGGTTAGCTTAACTAGAAATGGAGAGGTGATTTGAAGGTCCTGCTTCCTGCACTTTGGGGAGCTAAGTGTTCCCTCTTGATATTAATTATATATTCACTGCAAAGAAGCGCAAAGTAAGATAAATAACATCATTGTTCAGCATTAGTTGCTGCCTATGAGACAGAAGATGTGGCTGAATGCCTAACACATAGCCTGGAGCAGTGTACTCAGCACCACACTGAATGTACGGTTTCATGGTAAAGGCTTCAGCCAAATCAACAGCTTGTCCCACTCCCCTCCCCTCTCCAGGTGGAGAGCCACCACCTCCCCTTTAGCACTGGTGATTCAGTGATTCAGTTCACTTGTAAGATGGAGGTGTGCTGCAAGCTCCTGGTAAGAAGGGAGAAGCTAGAAGATTCTAGCTAACATAACACTTCACTTTATGCCATCATCATTAAGCCATTTCATCGTTTCCGATATAGTGTCATGAATTGACATCAGTTTTCAAAATTTAACACCAATGCATATTATTTAGTTAAATGCAAATGAACTTCTACTGAAGTTAACCTTCTAGGGAAGATCTGTAGTGGTGGATGTGAGGGTCAGATAAGGCTTCAAGACCCCCGCCACCTGCCCACCTTCTGCCCAGCTTCTGACTGGGAGACTGATAGGTGGTGACGCACGGATAGCGGAGCATTTTGTGTGCCTGGAAACATAAAATTGTTTCACACAGTGAGAAGCAGCACAGATCTTGTAAATGGCCTTTGATAGATTGACTGAGTGCAGTATTATTTTAGATCCCCTCCAGATGTCCAAAACAAGTTTGAAAACAGTTAAGTCTCATGATATGATTGGGTCTAGATGTGCAAGCAGATAAAATAACTTTCCCAAGGCTACACACGAGGCAGCTCAGAAAAACAGACAAGTCAGACTCACAGCTTTTTAACTAACCATATTGTCAAAGCTCCTTTTTTTTGCTCTAATTTTGTAGCAGGGTCCCATGCCAACATTATTAACTTATGCTTGGTTCTTGCTCTTGTGCCAGTTTAAGCTTACAGTCAAGTTTCTAAAAGAAGGTCACTGTGTGCTGCTCACATCCGTGGTACAATACCAGCTTTATTCACAAATAGGAAAGCCTTTACCACTAACTACAAGGGTACTTTATTTTTAGGTTATGTTTTCACTCACAGTCAGCAGAGTGATCTTCTGTGGCATTTGTTTCTTTTCTAAATTTGTTTTATTTTAACACTCGTTTTGAATAGTGCAGCTTGGCAGTGGCAAGTGTCTGTCTGGAGTCACGTGCCAGTAACATCCAGGGGCTAGATAATTCCACTTCTGTGGTTTGTGCTTGTAGCTAAGACTGGAACTGGATTATTTAAAAGATACTGGTTCTGAATGTTTTTTAAAACAGCCTTTACATAATGTTACTGTGATCATTTACTACTGTGGCCAGATTTCACAGTACACATTTAAGTTAATTTGCACTTGCAGCAAGTTGGTCAAGAAGAAGACCTAATTGCTGTTCTTGTTCTTGTAGCTGCAAGTTATGACTCCAAAGCTCTCAGCAGATACTTCTTAAATGAACTATTCCATTGAGGAACTACCAAAGAATATATCTCTGAGCTTGACCACTAGCGATCAGAGTGTCAAGAAAATGTTCCTGAGGTTTGAGATTTATTTGGCCCTTTATTGCCTTTTTAAAATAGCTACTGGTAAATGCAGTAAAATGTCCTGGTCTGATCCTGAACCTTAATAGCATTTGGAGCAATCGGAGAGTAAGTTTCATAGGATGCAGAGGATGCTGAAGGGCTGAGTGCTGTGCTGGTAGCAGGCAGGGAGCAGGACGGGAAGCAGCTCCTCAGATGGTGTCTTCAGACTGGCACAGAAGCAAGAAGAGCAGGGATGTTTCTCATCCACACTGATGCAAACTCACACATACCCAGTAACCAGCCCATCTTGTAGAAGATGCTTTGTTGGATTTTAGGTTATTGAGAGAAAGATGCACAACAAGGGGTAAGGGCAGGGGAGCCGACTGGTCCCCAATGCTGTCGCTGCTGACTTGTTTAACTTTGAGTAGAAATCTAGTAAAGAGCCCTTCCCTCTCTGTAAGGGCAGTACCCTTAAAAACACAGTGGAGGCAGCTTTCTACAGGAGGATCTGTAGGATTCAGTGGCCTTGTTTCATCCTTTCCCCTTTCCTCCTCTGAGTTCACAGCATCATCTGCAGGCAGCACAACTCACTGTAGGTCCTGCGCGCTGCGCCTAGCTTCCACGCACTTGTTATGAAACAAAGAGGTGGCTTCAGAAGGGGCAGCTTGCTGGTTTGGTGTGCTTTTGTCTTTTGAAGGGCGATCAGATCAAAATGCCTCTTGCCTCAGGACACAGACCAAAAAAAATGCAAGCCTAGCTGCCAAAGACAAGCTTGAACGTATCGCTGGTGGAGCCACCACGCACAGATAACTTCCTTTGGGTTGTTCATTGGTCTGCTGTTTCACAGTGTATATGAAACTGCTTAAAAGCTCTTCGCCAAATGAGGAATGTAGGTTGTTTCTAATTATGTGACATGTAATCAAGCGTGACATGCCTACTTACCCCTTAGATGACAGCAAGCTTTATTTCCTTGAAGAGAGAAAGGTGGGAAACGTTCAGGTGTTAAATAGCCTGAAGCCTGCAAAAGTTCTTCATTTCAGTATCCCTCTGGCTGGACTTATCTGTGCTAATTTCTATTAGAGGAGCAACTTAGTCAGAACAACTGGAGTGTGAAAAATGCCCGTGCTTTGGGCTTCACATTTTATTTTTAACTCAAAGTGTTTCCTCAGTCCCTATCAATCATGGCAACTGTTAATGCAAGAAAGCGAGAGCCCCTTCTCAGCATCTCAGCACAGAGAAGGGTTTAATACTGAGAGCTTTGTTCTCCATGTTAAATGCCTATTGACTTCTTTGGCCCAGGGAAATATTGATTTTTCTCTCACTTTCCTTACAGGCTCTGCTTTCTTTCCTGGTCGCTGTGCTGAGATCTTTGCCAAAGGTCAAAGCATTGGGAAACTTGGAGTCCTACACCCCGATGTTATCACCAAGTTTGAGCTCACCATGCCATGCTCTGCCCTAGAGATCAATATTGAACCCTTCGTGTGACGACGGGACTTTTATCCTCCTACAGCTGTCTGCTGTCACATGCAGCACCCTCTGCTCTTTTGTCTTTCTCTGCAGGGGACATCCGCATATGATTTTATATTCCAATAAACTAGAAAAACAGCCTGGCTCCGTGGGTAAATATGTTCCTTACAGTGCAATTTGGCTAGCTTCCGCAGGGTAAGAATGTGGCATCTTGGACTAAACCATGCCCTCAATATTTTTAAAGGGCGAGAGGGAAGAAACAAGTTGGGCAAAAGCCCAGTGTTGTACAAGAGAAATGTAATGGCAGAGCACATGACTAGTTTTCAAAATCAGAAATGTTCCGCAGACACAGCCTCATACTGTAACTGATTATGGCTGCATAACAGGAATCTCATTCTTTTCTTATTGCATGAAATAAGATAATTGATTAGAGCAAATGTTGAGTGAATGTGAGCAGAACTAAGGAGTTGAGCTTTTATTCTGTACGGTTGTCATGTGCTCATCAATGGCTGGGGGAGGAAAATAAACTTGTTTCATGAAAACCAGAGCTATTTTGTAAGCAAGATGTGTGTAATATCTGCTTCCCTACTCCAGACATAACTGTTGGTCCTTTATCATTCTAAATTCAGAAAGGGGAGGGGGTGGAATTAATTTTTTTCATGGTTGATGTAAGCCTAGTGGTTTTTGAAGCTCCAAACCAAATAGGGAAAATGCATTTAAGAGCATATGCCAGTGGTCTTTTGCATGAGGAGCTGAAAAATATCAAAGCCTTTGTCTGACTGAGGCAGGCACATTTGTCTGGGGAAGGCAGCGTGGTCCTTGCACTGAAGTAGCTCCACTAGTGGCTTTCTGAACCCCAGCAGCACAGCAGGGACCATGCAGCTTTCTGACAGTTTTTCCTTTTCTTGCAGTCTTGCCCCTGACAATGTAGGAGAACCTCTGGTGGATCAGGCTTTTCCTCTAGGCAGCTTTCTGTCAGCAGTTATGCTACAGCCTGGCACATTGTGCCTCTGCTAGCTGGGAAACTGAGAACCTCCATCCAGCTTGGCAATGCCTGATACATCCCTCCCGGAGTGTCGGAGTGGGTGGCCAGCTCGATACTCTTAAGCGGGCTCTTTACTGGCTTGCTAACGAAGCTGGCAGTCCCTCATTTGCAATATTATAGCCATCGCTAATGGTGCAGGCTAACGCTAGCGACTATTTTGCATTAGGCCAACACTCTGTGGCTCGTTTCCGTTGTGAGACCCAGATAGGCCCTGATCCCAGGAGAGTACTGTCCAAGGACATCTAGGTGATGCTGGAGAAAGGTGTTGCAACAACTAGCTCATCGAGAAGAGAGATGCGCAATGGTGAGGTGAGCTCGCAGTTACATGAGCTGCAGGTCCGCACAGAGCCCTGTCGCTGGACCCACGATGGCTTTTTGGTGGTAGCCCTGTCGGTAATCTTAACAGGTGGGAGGCAACAGGCAAGGCTGCTTGCTGCAAGTGTTAATCCAGTATGAAAAATGCACTACAGTTATCCATCTGGAAACCCTACGGTTCCCCTCAGATGGAAGTGTAGATTTTAATTATCTCTGCATGACAGACGTGAAATGAGAATATAGCTATTGCCATACGTTGCACGACTGACTCCAGTGCCCACGGAGAGTGAGAAAACTGCAGCTCACATTTTAAAGTCTCCCGAGGGATTAGCCAGCTTGTCGTTTGCAGGATATATCTCTCCGTGATGCCTATACAACTGTAACCAAGCGAGCCCGCAGTGTGGGAAGCAATCTGTACCGCAGATGGTAAGTATTAACCCCCCCTGTTTATTGGTGTGTCATGCATGGGGATTAGGACGACAATAAGGCAGATTCGCATTTCAGCAGAGTACAGGCATATTTGTGTGCACTAAATCTATTTTTCTACACAAGATTTTCTGACTCTTTGGGTGTCCCAATTCTCCTGTGAATTTACTGTCCTTTGAGTGTAAAGACTAGATTAGGCTGGGACTAAGGGCTTGAGCTGCAGTGGTATGTGTTGCCAAGCTTTGAAGGATCATTCCTTCTCCTTTTTCATACAGGAATTCGCCCGGATGTCGGTAGCTAAGTGCTCCACAAGCGGGACATCAGCTCTGTCCCAAGGAAGTAGCATTACTTGCTAAAAGTACAGGATGAGAATCGAGAGAAAGGTTAAAAAGCCTCTTCAGGGCCACTGACCCCTCTCACAGCTAGAAGCGATGCTCTGAAACTCAAGCTTTGCCGTAGTGCTGTGCTCAGGATTAGCTGTGAATCCTGACAAGTGGGACACTTCATAAAAGTCTAGTGTATTTATTGCAGGGTGTTGTCTTTCGTAGCCCAAACCCAATTATCTGATATTTACAGCTTGCTCATAGCTGTATTCAGGAATCGAGGTATCTAGCACCCAGCTTTGTGCTGGAGACAGCCACCGTGAGCTTCGCTGTTGTGCTTTTGAACAACAAAAGCCCTGTTGGGTCTTGGCCAAGGAAACTGGTGACTTTTGAGCAATTTCTGAACATCTTTTGAACTTTGTTTATTTCTTTAAGGAAGAGTTAGAAGTTAGGTTTTTTCACTAGTGGTCCCCAGTTATGAATTACTTTTGGCCTCTTCCTGCTGGCTGAGTGCTGGGTCATGGCTCAGGATCTCAGCACGAGCACCAAAGCCTGGAGAACTGGTGACAAAGAGGTCAAAGCCTGTTTTAACGTGCTGTCTGGGTGACTGCTGGGTTCATTTCAGCCAGACACAAGGACTGACATCTGGGTTTGTCCTTGGTGTTCCTTGGTGCTGCAAAGATGCTTTTCAGAGCGGCAGGAGCCCTGAGAGCCCGTCTGCAGCTCCCAGCCACAGCTCTCTGCACTTGCAGGTCACTGCTGCTGTTGCCTGTGAGTGTTTATGTAAAGGTAGCGCTTGGGACTGTTTCCATCTCTGTCTGGCAGTGTCCTTGCTTGCAATTTAAATCATTCTCAGTTTAGCAGGTGAATATGGAACAGGTCGAGCAAAAGCAGAGGGTGCTGCCAGGAGGCTGCCACAGGGATCACAGCCCTGGGCACACGCGACACCTCTGACCGCCCAGCGACCTTGAAACCAAGCCGGGGCGAAGGAAGGCGAGCGGGGTGGCAGCGGGGACGGCAGGCCATGGCTGCAGGCTGAGCCAAGCCTGGTCCAGGCGGGGGGGAGGCGACGGGCTCTGGAGGAGCAGGAGCTGGGGGCACCAGTCAGGGGTGATGCCTCAGCATGTTCTAGCAAATGCACAACATCCCACCCGCTGCTGAGTTGCATGTCCACCCTGCTCAGACGTGTGCCCACATTTCCTAATTTCTCCTCGCAGCAGGCATTAGAGGGGTTAAAACTGAAACCAAAACCATTTTCTTTTCTTCCATCCCCTAAATTAAATCACATGCATCCAGAACAGCAACCTGCACGCTCACTTGTGGTTTTACATAGAAACTTGGGTGGATTTGGAGACTGGGGTCACGACAAAGTTACTGCTGGAGAATTAAAACAGGCAGATTCAGTGCTTGCTGGTTTGTCTCTCAGTCCCTGCGGAGGGGTGCAGTAACATCAGGAGGCTGCCAGGGCAGCTGGCTGTGTGCTGGGGACGGGCAGCAGCAGTGCCCTGCGGCAGGAGGCAGCCTGGCTGGGCACCAGGCGCCCCAGCAGTGTTTGCAGAGTGAGCGCCTCGGGAGGAGGCAGCCCGACGGCAGGACAGTGAGGAGTAATCTGAGGCTGAGATGCCTGCTGCATCCCTCTTGACAGCATAATGAAGGAAATTTAGAAGCAGCTTGTCTTGGCCCCACTCCTCCAGCTGAAGGCTGTGGGATGGAGAGCTGTGGCGCTGGAGCAGGACAGGACAGACAGGACAGGACTGAGAAGTGAACAGCCCCAGCCCCAAGGC